CGATCGTGACAGTTTGGTCATATAGTCATCCATTAGCTGTTAGGTTATATAGCCATTCATTATCTGTTTGGTTATATCGTCATCCATTAGCTGTTTTCGTCATCCACAACCATTTTGAAAAGAAGGTTGACGACATCCGATCTTCATTTATTAAGTCAAATGACACCGCTGGGCCTGCTCACACTGCCCTACCCTATGCTTTGACTTCTTTCTCCCCTCTCTCTCCAGATGAAATCTTGTGACAGCCGGCCGCCCAACAACCTGCCCGCTTGACCCTATCCCCTCCTCTCTTCTCCAGACCATTTCCGGAGACCTTCTCCCTTACCTCACCTCGCTCATCAACTCATCCTTGACCGCTGGCTATGTCCCTTCCGTCTTCAAGAGGGCGAGAGTTGCAACCCTCCTCAAAAAACCTACACTCAATCACTTCGATGTCAACAACTACAGACCAGTATCCCTTTTTTCTTTTCTCTCCAAAACTCTTGAGCGTGCCGTCTCTAGCCAACTCTCCTGCTATCTCTCTCAGAATGACCTTCTTGATCCTAACCATTCAGGTTTCAAGACTGGTCATTCAACTGAGATTGCTCTTCTCTGTGTCACGGAGGCTTTCCGCACTGCCAAATCTAACTCTCTCTCCTCTGCTCTTATCCTTCTAGACCTATCTGCTGCCTTTGATACTGTGAACCATCAGATCCTCCTCTCCACCCTCTTCGAATTGGGCATCTCCGGCGCTGCTAACTCTTGAATTGCATCCTACCTGACAGGTCGCTCCAACCAGCTGGCGTGGCGAGAATCTGTCTCCTCACTACGTGCTCTCACCACTGGTGTCCCCCAGGGCTCAGTTCTAGGCCCTCTCCTATTCTCTCTATACACCAAGTCACTTGGCTCTGTCATATCCTCACATGGTCTCTCCTATCATTGCTACGCAGACGACACACAATTAATTTTCTCCTTTCCACCTTCTGATAACCAGGTGGCGAATCGCATCTCTGCATGTCTGGCAGACATATCAGTGTGGATGTCGGATCACCACCTTAAGCTGAACCTCGGCAAGACGGAGCTGCTCTTCCTCCCAGGGAAGGACTGCCCGCTCCATGATCTCGCCATCACGGTTGACAACTCCATTGTGTCCTCCTGCCAGAGTGCAAAGAACCTTGGCGTGACCCTGGACAACACCCTGTCGTTCTCCGCTAACATCAAAGCGGTGACCCGATCCTGCAGGTCCATGCTCTACAACATTCATAGAGTACGACCCTACCTTACACAGAAAGTGGCACAGGTCCTAATCCAGGCACTTGTCATCTCCCGTCTGGATTACTGCAACTCGCTGTTGTCTGGGCTCCCTGCCTGTGCCATTAAACCCTGCAACTTAGCCAGAACGCTGCAGCCCGTCTGGTGTTCAACCTTCCCAAGTTCTCTCACGTCACCCCGCTCCTCCGCACCCTCCACTGGCTTCCAGTTGAAGCTCACATCTACTACAAAACCATGGTGCTTGCCTATGGAGCTGTGAGGGGAACGGCACCTCCTTACCTTCAGACTCTGATCAGACCCTACACCCAAACGAGGGCACTACGTTCATCCACCTCTGGCCTGCTAGCCCCCCTACCTCTATGGAAGCACAGTTCCCGCTCAGCCCAGTCAAAGCTATTCGCTGCTCTGGCACCCCAATGGTGGAACAAGCTCCCCCACGACGCCAGGACAGCGGAGTCACTGACCACCTTCCGGAGACACTTGAAACCCTACCTCTTTAAGGAATACCTGGAATAGTATAATAGTAATCCTTCTACCTCCCCTTTACTACCACTGTCTTTTGTCTAAACTAACACCTGACTTATTTCACCTGCTAGCACTGACTTGTTTAAAGAAATGTACTTATTGTGATCGAGATGTAGTTGTCACTGATTGCACTGACTTTGCTCACAGCTGCTTGTTTGAAGAAGTGTACTTACTGTGATAAAGATGTGGTTGTCCCACTGGCTATCCTAAGTTGAATGTACCAATGTGTCTGCTAAATGACTTAAATGTTAAATGTAAATAGTCATCCATTAGCTGTTCCGTTATATATTCATCCATTAGCTGTTTGGTTATATAGTAGGGGTGTAACGATTCGTTTTAACAACGATTCGATTTGTATCACGATTCGTGGTTGTCGATACGATTCAAGGACGATATTGGTTCATTTAGAACGATACGATCCGAAACGATTCAGTGACTTGAAATCGATTCAGTAACCTTTTAGCCAAAAATTCAACCAGTGTGACTGAAATAAATACCTGGATACTGGACAGTGCAGGTGAAGTTTCCTAGATTCCTGTTTCTTGTAAGGACCGCAATGGTGGCTTGATAATTTCTCGCTCGTCGGCTTCTCCTCTGTCGTCCGCCATGCTATGTTTTGTTGTCTTTGCGCCTTTGCGCTGCTGCTGGCGAGGGGCGATGACGTCACGGATAGGCAGACTGAATCGAGTAATGTTTAAAGCCTTTATCATTGAAAGTGCTAAGAAAAAACATCCATATAAAGTCTGACGTGCTTAAATCCAATGGGTTATTTCCTAGTATCGATACAATCGATTTATTACATTTTAAAACGATGTTAGATTGATTTATGTTGTCCAAAAGGCCAACTCGCCGAGCACAGATCGATGTAGTTGGATCATAGGAATATAAATCGATACATTGATGTAGTAGATGGATCGTTACACCCCTATTATATAGTCATCCATTAGCTGTTTGGTCATATAGTCATCCATTAGCTGTCTGGTCATATAGTCATCCATTAGCTGTTTGGTAATATAGTCATCCATTAGCTGTTAGGTCATATAGTCATCCCATTAGCTGTTAGGTTATATAGTCATCCATTAGCTGTTAGGTCATATAGTCCATTAGCTGTCTGGTTATATAGTCATCCATTAGCTGTTAGGTTATATAGTCATCCATTAGCTGTCTGGTTATATAGTCATCCATTAGCTGTTAGGTTATATAGTCATCCATTAGCTGTCTGGTTATATAGTCATCCATTAGCTGTCTGGTTATATAGTCATCCATTAGCTGTTAGGTTATATAGTCATCCATTAGCTGTCTGGTTATATAGTCATCCATTAGCTGTCTGGTTATATAGTCATCCATTAGCTGTTAGGTTATATAGTCATCCATTAGCTGTTAGGTTATATAGTCATCCATTAGCTGTCTGGTTATATAGTCATCCATTAGCTGTTAGGTTATATAGTCATCCATTAGCTGTTAGGTCATATAGTCCATTAGCTGTTAGGTTATATAGTCATCCATTAGCTGTTAGGTCATATAGTCCATTAGCTGTCTGGTTATATAGTCATCCATTAGCTGTTAGGTTATATAGTCATCCATTAGCTGTCTGGTTATATAGTCATCCATTAGCTGTTAGGTTATATAGTCATCCATTAGCTGTCTGGTTATATAGTCATCCATTAGCTGTCTGGTTATATAGTCATCCATTAGCTGTTAGGTTATATAGTCATCCATTAGCTGTCTGGTTATATAGTCATCCATTAGCTGTTAGGTTATATAGTCATCCATTAGCTGTCTGGTTATATAGTCATCCATTAGCTGTCTGGTTATATAGTCATCCATTAGCTGTTAGGTTTATATAGGGCATCCAATTTGCTGTCTGGGTTTTTAAAAGTCATCCATTAGCTGTTAGGTTATATGTCATCCATTGGGGGTGTCGGTATAAGTACCATTTTGCGGGTTTGGGTTTTTAAAAGTCCCTCCATTAGATGTCTGGGAAATATCATCCATTAAGGGTGTCTGGTTATAAAAAGTATCCATTAAACTGTTAGGTTATTTGTCATTTTCCTATTAGCTTCTGGTTAATAAATCTTTCCCTTAGCTGTTTTGGGGTTATTTTAGTCTCCCCTTAGCTTTTTGGTTATATTCATCCATTTTGTGGTTTATATAAGGGGCATCCATTAGCTGTTGGTTTTATAGTCATTTCCCTTAGTGTTAGGTTATATAGTCATCCATTAGCTAGTTATATAGTTATCCATTAGCTGTGTCCTATAGTCCATTAGCTGGTCTGGTCCAGATAGTCATCCATTAGCTGTCTGGTTATATAGTCATCCATTAGCTGTTTGGTCATATAGTCATCCATTATCTGTGTGTTTGTGCAGCAGAGTCACCATTGAACTTTGAATGTCAGGGAAACTGTTGTTGCCTCTCAAAGAATCGACTCTCAAGGACTTTTCCTTGTTGTGGCTGCAGGGTGGATCGTGTTTAGGAGAAACAGACTCTGAAGTACACAACAACAAGCAGAGTTGAGGAGAATATAAATAGCAGCCTTTGCCCTGCGCCGCATGGTGTCCTATTCTGCTGTCTGCACTGGATCTGTTTTGAAGGAATATACTGTATTATTCTAAAAATGCCCGGAAGGCGGGATGTTTTTTTTTTTTAGCAATGCACCAAGGATACCCATGACACACCTGGCCTGCATTCATAAATACTCTAGTGTAATTTAAGGAAAAAAATATGCTTCAACTATGCTAAGAAAAGAATGGGGGTTTTATTGTAGTGATGTGGAAAGCTACTATACAGCAGTAGAACAAGTCAAATAGGCGGTGCTTATATTTGTCCTGTTTCACTGCAAGTGGGTAACCTGTATGAGTGTGAGGTGTGAAAACAAAATTAGTTTTTTGCATATCCCAACTTCCCCTGAGACACCCTTGGAGAGTGGGGCCAGGTTCAGAGGGGACGGTGATGTCATTTTATCTCTTGGCTCAGCCTCTCCAGACCTTTAGCTGTAGTTACACCTGGTTGACTAGGACTCTGTCATGTGATTCCAGACCTCTCAAACACAGGAGTGGCCAGTCTTGGAAGGCTGCAGTGTGTGTGCAGGGTGTAGAGGATTTTCTTTATTTCTTTCTACATTTTCTATGTCTCTCTCTCCCCCCGTTCTGCTGTACTACCGATCGCGAACCCGTTATTCCATAGAATATGAACTCCCAATTTATACACACACATTACCCATGCCTTCACATTACCCCACTGCATGTCATGTCCAAGCCCACAGGAGTGGCTGGGTCCCCAGCGGAGGGAGAGCTGGGCTGGGATAGGCTGAGCACGCCTATAGGGTCCCCAGCGGAGGGAGAGCTGGGCTGGGATAGGCTGAGCACGCCTACAGGGTCCCCAGCGGAGGGAGAGCTGAGCTGGGATAGGCTGAGCTAGCCTACAGGGTGAGCTACGTTTACTAGCTAACATTAACAACGTTAGTGTGCAGGAATGCAGGCAGGCAGACACACAACCAGACAGGCAGGCAGGAATGCAGAGAGGCAGAGATACAGATAGACAGACAGACAGAGAGAGAGAGAGAGAGAGAGAGAGAGAGAGGAGAGAGAGGAGAGAGGAGGAGAGAGAGAGAGAGAGAGAGAGAGAGAGAGAGAGAGAGAGAGAGAGAGAGAGAGAGAGAGAGAGAGAGCGAGAGAGGGAGAGAGAGATGCCTGACCTCCACTGATTATGACTACCCACAAGGTCACAGCGAGCAGGGCAGCCAGTCGGGCAGGTGGGTGTAGGACTGTTAAGGTGACCTTATTACCACCACACCGGCGGTCACGCGTCATGACAGCAGTCATATTCCACGTGACCATTTAGTCACGGTAACTAGGCTTCTCCAAGCTCTGATGCTGACTGCCTGGTACCCAGCACTCTATTCTCCATCTAATCCCTCTGACATCAATGCAAATGTGATCGAAAATTAAGTCAAACACTTCATGAGAACCCATGAGCTCATGTTGCGCAACATTTATGTTGGCTATGCAATAGCGTGAGAAAACAGAATTTTGATGGCCTCTATTAAAAAGAGGAGGATCCCATCAGCTTTCTATAGGCTAGGCCTACTATATTTATTTCTCAACTTGACTAATATTAAGCACATTGCTTCGCTTTACAACAGGAGTAAAGCCTACCTGGTTGGCATGAAAATAACCACGGGAAAAGTGTCCTCCGTTCACTATTTAAGTGCATAGATTATGTATTTTTTTCCAATGTTCCGAGACAGGTGCATGATAATGGTCCATTCTAAATCAAAACTAATTTCACACATATATTATTTAGTATATGTAAAGACAAGACTACTATTGACTGTTACCATTTTATTGTTGTTATTTTTTTATTCTTATTATTATTTACTGCCATTTTACATTATTATTTGTTATTCTTTATTATTTTATTACAATGTATATTGTATACATTGTTGCTTTGGCAATATTGATGCAATGTTTTTCATGCCAATAAAGCAGCTTGAATTTGAATTTGTATTTGACTAAATCAAGAATAGTCTGATGGGTGACAATATTAGCCTATCACTTGTGAATGATTTTTTATCACTTGTGAATGATGCCCAGCTTGTGTACAGTAAGGGAAGAAACAGCGCATGCCTTTTCTGGCAACTTTTTAAAATCATAGTCGCACACCTCATGTAGCCTAGCCCATAGGCCTACATGTTTTGATAAGGTTTGTATCATAACTAAAGTGGCCAAAAAACTTCTTAAAATTAAGCACATTAATCTGCTTTACAACCGGTGTAGAGCCTAACTGGAATATTTAGGCGGCGTGTGAGTTTCAAGTTTGGGAAAGATAATTTTCACCATAAAAATGCACCTTTATAATAAAGCATTACATGCAAAATCACATTTGCGGTCACTTTGGAGAATGATGTTTTCCCGCTAATTGCATTTTGGAACATTTGCGATTATAGCTTACTGCCGTGTGCTCATTGCTGCACTTATAATGTGAAGAAATAGCCTAAGTTTATCAACATTTTAAGCTAAATGTTCTGATCTGTTGCATCATCCTCATTGGGTTTAAAAGGTTTTTTGATGTCAGTGGTTGTATTAATGTGGGATCTATCGAATCCCACAACTGTCCCAGACTATGTTTGGAATATTTATTTCTCGCACAGAAGGACAAGATGACCAATAGAATAGGGAGATAGTAGATTGCTTTTGCAGTTCGTTAGACCTACTCATCTCGTTGGCTGATGAAAAGTAAATGTAGACAGCTCTTCTAACATCTTCAATATGCACCTCGGAATTCGATAAGAAGGCATTTGAGTCCCCGATGTGTCTGTCTTCACTTGTAGCCTACTTCGGAGCTGAGATGCCTGTGAGAAGGACCCGATCACGTGACGTTCATTGGATAATAAGAATTGAGATATCTGAGAGAGCCATGTGAGTGAGAGGTGCCCAGGAGAAGGGAATTGTAATGATTATATTCAGCCCAAGAGCACAACAGCCACTGGCCGCAAAAGGCATGGATTATTTTAGGGGGCATTACGGCCACACAAGGGGGATGCTGCCGGGAAATTCGAGGCATTATCAAGCGCTCGTCAAATTGTGAATGAGAGACTGATGAAGTGTGTGCAGCCTGCGCAAGAAACAAAGCAGAGCTCATGCCTTTCATGTGACTTTTTTCAAATCATCATTAGAGTTGCATCACGCAGCCTTAGAATGTATTAAAAATCTAAACATACAGCCCAACGTTTGTTTCACAACTAAAGTTGCATTAATAACTCTAAATGAAGCATATAGGAGGACCTGTTTCTTTGTTAACCGCTCAACACAGAATAGCCTCATGTGCACACTCCCTGTTTGGAGAAAATATCCTTTCTATTTTATTCAGCTACGTTCAGTTGTATTCTGCATACTATAAAATCATATAAAATAATGCCACGGAATTCTAAGCAAATCTTGTATGCTAAATGAACCAGTGTAGCCCACAGCCATATAGCATAGCCAGATCAGGACCTCATATAAGGACAACTCAAGAGTGTGCTATACATTTTCTTGATATCATGTTTCTTTAGGCCTGTCTAAAATAAATAATGGATTTATTGTGATGGTGTATGCTATATTAACTGGATTTATTAGACTTTTTCAAATGTAGATGTTCCAAAGGTCTGCATCAGTGGCTTGTAAGCGATGCGTGGAAGACAGGAGACGCTAAATGTGTTTATGTTAATTAACGGCAATTACCGTGAGACCGGCAGTTATTTGCTTGACAATCACCGGCTGACAAAAATGCTATGACCACCACAGCCCTAGGTAGGTGCGTGCGACAGTGCGTTCCCCCTTGCCCCTGCATGGCTCGTTGGGCCCCAGCATTATGACTAGATTGATACGGTGAATCAGGGGGGCAAACGGGACCTCTGACTGGGAGCAGACTGGGGTCGACATAGCCCACCACGCTCTGCAACCCAAATGAGCCTCAAAACCTGACAAGCCTGCACCTCTGTCTGTCTGTCTGTCTGTCTGTCTGTCTGTCCCGCTGAGTGGGTTTTTAGGTATGTCTGTCTGTCCCGCTGAGTGGGTTTTTAGGTCTGTCTGTCTGTCCCGCTGTGTGGGTTTTTAGGTATGTCTGTCTGTCCCGCTGAGTGGGTTTTTAGGTCTGTCTGTCTGTCCCGCTGAGTGGGTTTTTAGGTCTGTCTGTCTGTCCCACTAAGTGGGTTTTTAGGTCTGTCTGTCTGTCCCACTAAGTGGGTTTTTAGGTCTGTCTGTCTGTCCCGCTGTGTGGGTTTTTAGGTATGTCTGTCTGTCCCACTAAGTGGGTTTTTAGGTCTGTCTGTCTGTCTGTCCCGCTGAGTGGGTTTTTAGGTCTGTCTGTCTGTCCCGCTGATTGGGTTTTTAGGTCTGTCTGTCTGTCCCACGAAGTGGGTTTTTAGGTCTGTCTGTCTGTCCCACTAAGTGGGTTTTTAGGTCTGTCTGTCTGTCCCGCTGAGTGGGTTTTTAGGTCCGTCTGTCTGTCTTCCCTTTCTCTTGATGTGTTGAGGTGGATACCGGACAGAGTGAAAACAGCTATTCTCCAAGCTACAATAAACATAACTTCCTCTGAAACCTGAGCACACCTCGGTCTCTGGCCGTGTCTACATACTAAAACTATACTGTGTACTATATACTATGTAGAACTGTTTAGTTAAAATGTATGCAGTAAGCAACAGATACACATACTAGGCATACCGCGTCTTCTAATGCTGAACTGCATTGTTTCCCTCCAGTCGTTCATTTTGCTCCCCCGATCTGATTATCAGCTGTTGTCAAACACACGTGAAAAGCTGATTATCTTCCTTAATAGCAGCGAATTTGTACTAGATGAAAAGCAGAAATGAGTACGACATCCTGGTGTTTAACTCGAATGTCACATACATGAAAACATAATATTTTCGTGTACCCAATCAGCCTACTATTTAGAATGCAAATATGGGTATTCGGATACGGCCACAGTCTCTTCCTCTCTCAATCACGCTTTCTGTCTCACTGTGTATCTCTCAAACACCTTTCTCTGTCTTTGTCTCGCTCTCCCTCTCTCTCTCTCTCACTCTCCCTCTCCCTCTCCCTCTCCCTCTCTCTCGACTCAGACCTGCCTCACAATCCTACAACCACAAAGCTGTCTCGTTACGTTAACTGTATCGCTTCAGAGAGCCCATTCCCCAGATTATACCCCCTGTCAGTGGTGTTCTGTTCCCACTTCCCAGCCGTGTGGTCGAATCCCGTTACCCCGCGTGCCGAGCAGTCACGGTCTCACTGCGGTCTCTGTGTGCCAGGGTCTGTCGTTTCCATCCTGTCAGAGATGGCCCGGCCCTGTTCCCTCGCTAGCCACAGTTATCCACGCTAACAAGCCCATCTCTCTCTTACTGTTTCTCTATCTCTCTCACTCTCTCTCTCCTCTCTCTCTCTTTGGTCTCTCTCCTCTCTCTATATTCTCTCTCCTCTCTCTCTCTACTGTCCCTCTCTCGCTCTACTGTTCTCCTCTCTCTCTCTCTACTGTCTCTCTCCCTCTCTCTCTCTACTGTCTCTTACTCTCTCTTCGCTTTCTTTTCATGTATCTCTCTCTCTTCTTCTCATCTTCTACTTCTCTCCTCTCTCTCTCTCTCTCTACTCTCTCTCTATGCTCTCTCCCTCTCTCTCTCTCTCTCTCTCCCCCTCTCTTTCTCTCTACTGTCTCTCTCCCTCTCTTTCTCTCTCTTGCACAAATTGGATGATTACGGGATGTTAACATAGGAGATTACACCACTGACAGGGAGCGCAGCATGCCGTGGACACACAACGTGTGCCCTCATCAACACAGAAACTGAATAAACACACAATGGGATACTCATATACGCACACACACACACACAGTGACGTGTACTCATGGATTCCAAGGAAAGTCTGGCTTCCCCACAAAAATGGACCCCCAAAAAAGAAAAAAACATATAAAATAATATCTTTAATCTCTCTGTGTTTCATAATTTTCCTTTAATTCGGAAGAGGCAGAATGTATCTCATCTGACAAAGCATCCGAGCGAGCGAAACAGCACCCCTCTGTCTCTGTATGTGTAGGCCATCTATCTGATGCTGTCTGGTCCAAAAGAGTATGACATTGTTGCCGCCCGTAGCATTGAATACAAGGGAAGCCAGCGAGCATTGATGAACAAAAATTATAAAATAAGAGCCAATCAGCGTTGAGCTAAACTGAGCGAGATCAACTGTAAATGATCATGGTGCACCAAAAAAAAGTGTCAAGGGAAGCCAGTTTGGATTTGGCTTCACACCAATCACATCACTTCAAAAGCCAAACATAATTGACAGAAAAAAATGGAATTGTTGCATCTCGTTGTGCTGTTGTTGTCAGTGTTTGAAGTGGATGTGGTGTTGGAGTCAGGCGCAGGACACAGAAGCTTAGTCCAACAGACTTTACTAGTCAGAAATATGACAATACAAAAAGAACGGGCCTCAAGCAACGGAGGCGAGCGATACGCAAACAGTGCGTAAAACACGAAATATAAGCGATGCGCAAACAGTGCGTCAATACACTTAAATACACCAGCGCAAAATCCAAAACCCCAACGGACAGGCGGACAACAACACACAACTACAAACAAAACCAAAGGAAACTTATAGGTGACATAATCAATAAGTGATAAGACACAGGTGCACCAAACAGACAAAACCAAACAAACATAGAGAACATCAAACGGTAGCAGCTAGTACCCCGGGGACGACGAACGCCGAAGCCTGCCCGAACAAGGAGGAGGAGCAGTCTCGGCGGAATTCGTGACAGTTGTCCTCCGGTGGCTAGCTAGCTAGTTAAAATGATCTCTTTCCTAAATAGATAAGGATTTGGACCTGTGGTTTTACTTAATTCTCCATACTGGCCAATGATTATAACTGCGATTCTGATCCAACCATAAATTCATACATTGTGCCCCTGGCCTGAGAGGATGGAAATTCAATATGTAGCTAGATGTAGTAGGCTAATGTTAACTAGCTGGCTAATCGTTGCCCATGAAAATAAGTTAGGCTAGCAAGGAAGCATTTTAGCCAGGTAGCCTAGGACAACAAGAACGAAATGTGTGTACTGTATGACAGACATAGACCATTTCAGCAACATGAAAGAGAGGAGGATGGCATTGGAGTCAACATGTTGTTTTTTCTTGCAAGCACACACACACACAGAAATCTGTACCATTGACATCATATTTATCTTACGTTGATTGGACTAAATTGTTTATTTTTTAAATATTTTATTTGTCACTGTATTAGAGCATAAGCAGAGGTGATTTGATGACGTTGAAACGTTAAAGTTGACATGGTGCTGGAATAGTGGAGGCAGCTCCTGTGCAATGGTTCTAAATCAATGGTTGTTTAGTAGCCCGAAAATGTCAGAAACATTACCTTGCTTGACCATGCTGTAGGTCAAGTATCTGTTTGTTACATGCAGTATGCTTTGTGGATTTCACCGGACAGATGTTGCTCTCCGGTTTTGTGATGAAAAAAAAAAAAGGTGTGGTTGAATTTATTCTGCCACTGTGTCTTCTTATTGTCTCTGCCTTTAGGTCTTTATATCACGGTGGCAAGGCATATGAACTAACAGGTTATAGAGCAAACAACGCAGTTATCACAACACAGAGGATGTAATATGGCCATTTTTTCCTGGCTTGGCTTCCCCAGTGATTATACCCACGCACCACTACTGGAAGCATAATGATTATGCACCAACACATTCACACACTTCACTCCAGTATGCTCATAATACTTCACCAATTTGCCCATTTGTGCCACTTCACAAATTTGTCTTTGAAGAAAACAGTAGAATACATGTACCATACTATAAAGGTTAGATACTATAAAGGTCACATACCGTGGTTGGACTTAGACTGGTGGACAGGGGTGTAGTGGTTCTTGGAGGAGGTTCGTTGAGGAGTGTTGTCTTTGGGAGAGCCGTTCATGGCTGAAAAGTTCTCGCAGTCATATTGAGATATGGGAATGGGCCCCTGTTGCCTCAGGATGTCTGCAAGGGCCCTGGGGACACAGAGAGATAAAACATGTTTGGTTTTTATTAAGTTTGTGCACCAAAAGTCACTGTTACGTCTATTTAGCTCACTTCTCCAAGCATCTACACTACACTCCTAGGTGAGTGAGCGTACATTCTTTTTTGGCACTGAATGTTTATAGAGAACCGTTATTAAACCCCTTAAGGTATAAGGGCCCGGGGCTGGGTTTCTACTAAGCTAACATATGGAATTGTTTTAAGATGGTCATACCAAGGGTCATTTAGCTATTTGATTTGTATAAAAATGTAAGTACAAAAAAATTGAATTTTTTTTATTGATGGAATATTGAATGTGGCCTTACTGCTATTAGCCCATAGAAACACATTGAATAACAGATTCACTACATGGAAAAACAGAAAGTCAAAAAAATATATATAAACGTACGTTTTGAAGTGTCTGAGAGATATAAGATAGATCAGGAAATTATGTTTAGATTTTTTCACCATATTTAACCCCTTTTCGGCACTACATTTTGGGGATGTCTCCTGGTCTGACAAATACCACCGTAGATCTGCCACCTTTCACTGCAGATGCGGAAGACCGGCATCGGCAGATGCGGTGGATTGAGACGCAATCCAAGCTAGATATGTTTAGTTTAAACGGACAGATTCTATGGAGTTGTGTATTATGCTAATTAAATGTCAGCGGGGGGCATGGACATCCACTCTATTAATAAAACAGTGACGATAGCAAATATACTAACAACAGAAACAGAAGCATAGTTGAGTTTATGAGAAGCAGTTATAATTGGGTTGAATTTGAGTGTTTTTCAGGCCGACACCAGGTGTGTACGGAGGTATGGCACCCTCGAGGGTGAGAAGGAGAAGGGAGAGAGGGAATGGAACAACTCAACACCATCATGACAGAAAATAACCAAAATGTTTTGTTTTTTCTGGCAGAGCTTTTGAAGAGGAGGAAATGAAATTATGTTTGCGTTGCTGCGATTGCTCAAGGCCTTGTGCATGACAAATATATCTACAGCATAACCTTTTCTGTTCTATAAATATTGTTCCTGTTTTCATTTATTTCAGATCCGTGATTTGCTGTTATGTACTTTATCATTGGATTCGCTGTGGTGCAGACATGTCAGACAACTATAACGATCCTTAATGTGATACCACAGGAGGCTGCTGAGGGGAGAACGGCTCATAATAAGGGAGTGAATTGAATGGTATCAAACACATGGAAACCATTGTGTTTGATTTGTTCGATACCATTCCATTAATTCCGCTCCAGCCATTACTATGAGCCCGTCCTCCCCAATTAAGGTGCCACCTGCCGCCTGTGCGTGACACAGTATTGAATGTCTCTAGATCACTCCAGTGTTGCGTCATGCATGTATAGAAGGACCATGTTTCATAGAGGGAGACTACAATGTGTATCAGCAGTTCCTCATTGATGTGTGCTCTCCAGCATCATGTGTTGTCCACTAGTCTGTGGTAAATGTAATGTGGCAAAGCCCCAGAGGGAGCCGGGAAAACAGCTGAGAAAACACATAACTACAGACAGCTACTTTGTGGAAGACTCCAACATAACCCTGTTTAACCCATGTCAGTTCACCACTGCAGTCTGAGAATGCCCACACCACCACCACAGAGAACGTGTTGGTGTTGGTATGATAGGTGATATGGAACTAGAGTTAGATGGGGGGGGGGGGGGGCTGGAATAGGTTATATTTTCTATTTTATGATCTATGACAAGCTGGTTGTCTTGACTTAGCAAAGGCCTTGACATTTTATGAGTATTTTACGAGGGAAATGTGCATAGACATTGTTGTGCGTCTGGATTTATCCATTTAAATTTTAAGGGATTTGTCAGCGCTCTCTATATTTTTACATCAGCTTGATGTTATGATGCATAAACCAGATTCAACACATGCAGTGAAACATAAAAAATTAAAATAAAAAATAAAAATAAAAAAATATATATATATATATATATATATATATATATATACATATATACATCAGTAGGATCAGTCCTTCACCACACACTTGGTATGCCAGCCTAACCAAATCATGTAAATATTTCCCTTTGAACACCTCTGCAATTATTTTGGGCTTTCATGTGTACACACTAAAAAATAAGTGTTCCTCAAAGGTTATTTGGGAAGGGTAATGCTTCTATGTGGAACCATAATGACTCAAATAACCCTTTGAGCCCTTCAATGGTTCTTTACAGTTCACAAAAGGGTTATTTGCTCTTTTAGTGATAATTAAAATTTTGGGGAGGTGGCTCATTCAAATATTTTGGGGTGTGGTTTGCACATAGCTCTTTTTGTGCAACCGTGAGTGAGAGTGTCATTCCAGTTTGTCTAATGTGTTGTGTTATGTTATATTATATTATATTGTGTCAATAGAGAGTTGTTGATTAAATCAGTCAGTGGTTGTCATTTCTCTTCTCAGAAACCCCCAGCTTTTTCAGAGGTAACTCACTTGATTCCACTTGTCAATTAACACAGTAACGCCTACTGAAGTTTAACAATATAATATGGCTGGCCAGAATAAGAAAAACCTGTATGGTTCTTCAAAAGGATCTACAAAGAACCTTTCAGATTGAGAACCATTCTCCATAAAGGTTCTATAAAGAACCATAAGAAAGTGCTCTATATAGCCCCAAAAAGGGTTGTAACCATTGCGGAACCCTTTTTGAATGGTTCTTTATAGCACCATACAGGTTCCATTTAGAACCTTATGAGCATGGTTCTTTATAGAACCTTTAAAAAAGGTTCTACATAGCACCAAAAGGGGTTCTGCTATGGTTACAAGGCAAATAACCCATATCTGGTACTATTTAGAACCATCATTTTTTAGTGTGTACACTAGCCTAGTGTCCCAGATTTAATGTCATTCTGGCGTTTACTCTCAATTCCGTATAATCCAATGAAATATAATAAAAACAAAATGCATGTACCATTTGAACTAGTGGGTGATAGAATCATTTGTATAAGCAGTGTCAATACTGTAAAGCAGGACATGGCTCAACCTGGTTAAAAGGGGGCTTTGCACCCAAGCAGACATGGATATTCGTTCGTTCATTAATTCATTAATTTATTCAATAATTTATTAATTCATTCATTCTGACTTACCTATGGATATTCATTTCCTGAGGGGGCTCTGTGGCTTTGTCATAGGCAACTTTAGCCGAAACTCCCACCACTAAAATAAAAGCTATGATCCCACAAGTGATGTACACCGCAGTGTTCGTCTGGTCCATACTGGGGTCAAAAGGCTGTCCCGTAGAGGCTGGCGACGGGGGGGGCGTTTTCACCCAGTCCGGCTTGTTGTAGTTTTTACAGCTTGACTGGTCTACTCTTTTTTCTTTTTCCTGGCAGCAGAACCGCAGGAAGCAGGACCCGCAGCAGTAGCGGTGAACCGTGTTGTTACACGCAAACTCTTTGTCAAATTGTCCGCTCACGTCGTAGTAACCCGTGCAGGTATCGTAGTCCTTGGTCGTGTTCTTCAGCGGCGCAGCGGTGGGGACCGCCGCGGTGATGTTGGCGTCTTTCGCCTTGGGAGTCCGCTTGGTCACCGGTTTCATCTTCTTGCTTCCCGTCCCGGCGCAGAGAACGCTCAGGGGATCCAGGTATATGAGGAGCAGAAAAAGGTGCCGTATCCCCATGGTGTGTCTAACTTGTCAATTCACTTCCGATGCAACGCTTGTGATCTTCTCTGACTTGGTAGGCCTACTTGAAGTGAATGCGATAGGGCTCTCAGTCCGACAAGGCTGTTGCAAACCTGTCATCTGCCACTCGCGTTGGTCCCCTCGGTATCGATACTGTTACCATACTGGCTAGAAGAATGAGTATCATCGGTATCGAAGACGCCATTAGTTAAATATATCACTAATACCAGCGCTTCTGAAACCCATTGCGCTCTGATAGAGAGAATCGTCATTCACTGAACTGCATGCCTTGGTTACGCTCTGGTAGGACAGACGATTGGAAGGGACTATGTGCTTTCCGCCGGGTTGGAGGTGCTGAAATCAGGTCGCTGTCCAAGGAACTGAGTTATGTGGGGCGCCTTGAGTCGAGTCGTCTTTACAAGGCAGGGCTTGTGTTCACATCTTCTTGGTGTGGTGAAAGTTGCGCTATAGAGGAAACAAACAAAACGCTTCATAAGCCATTATCCGCACGTCAAGGGGGGTGCGTTAAGTCTAATCAAAGCCAACTATTCATCCACGCGATGGAAACCACAGTCATTTATTCTGAACGGCGGTATTTCTGTCACATCCTTTTCGTGAAGTGTTTGACATTCAGGGTTTCTGGGCTTTTCATAACGGCTGCATGCAGTTAAGACGTGCTTGTTTAAATCCCTTTCAATGCACAGACATTCCATTGCAACTGAAACTTTCCAAATGCATAAAACGCTTTAGAATATTCAAATAGAGTAGAACCAATACATTCAAAACGGTTTTAATTGCAGCCAAATATTTGTTTTCACTCTGTAAAATATCGCCGAATAATAGCCAATTTCAATATATTAGGCTACTTAAAAGTTATTCATTTTATCTTACGGAAAAAGCACAACAGAACGCAATTTAATTTAGTCATCTGCATTTTAATGCGAGGCACAAGCAATAGTTCAAAGATAGAGAAAGTATGGTGATGAAACCTACCTATGTCAAGATTCCCGTTGACTTGGTCTCTGTCTGACGCGAGGAGAGTGAATAGAATATGAGAGCTCAGCAAGAGACCCCTCCCTCCCTCCCGTCCCCCGTGTCCACTTGTTCTCTCCTCCCTCCATCCTTCATCTCCCTCGCTCTTTCTTATGTCAAATCAAATCAATCAAATCCAAATGTTATTCGTCACATGCTTCGTAAACAACAGAATGCAGAAAGAAAGGAAATAGATCAATAATAGAAAAGTAATAACACGTAATAATAAAAGTAATAATATATACACAACGAGTAACGATCATTGACTATATACACGGGGTACGAGGTAATTGAGGTAGATATGTACATATTTGTATTTATTAAGGATCCCCATCAGCTGCTACCTGGGGTCCAGCAACATTAAGGACGTTATATACAATTTAAAATATTACATTTAGTAACACTTTTCACAACACATTAAGTGTGTTCCCTCAGGCCACTACTCTACTACCACATATCTACAATACAAAAAATGAATGTGTACGTGTGTGTAGAGTGTGTGTCTTATCATGTGTATGTGTAAGCGTGTGTCTGTGCGTGTGTCTGTGTCTTTTCACAGTCCCCGATGTTCCATAAGGTGTATTTTTATCTGTTTTTAGGCATGGCTCTATATAGTACTGTACGCCTCCCATCGTCTGTTCTTGACTTGGGGATTGTGAAGAGACCTTTGGTGGCATGTCTTGTGGGGTATGCATGGGTGTCCGAGCTGTGTGCTAGTAGTTTAAACAGACACCACGGTGCATTCAGCATGTCAACACTTCTTACAAAAACAAGTAGTGATGAAGTCAATCCCTCCTCCACTTTGAGCCATGAGAGATTTACATGCGTATTATTAATGTTAGCTCTCCGTGCACATTTAAGGGCCAGCCGTGCTGCCCAGTTCTGAGCCAATTGTAATTCTCAGAGGTCCCTCTTTGTGGCACCTGACCACGGGACTGGGCAGCACGGCTGGCCCCACGGACTGAACAGTAACTACTGTTGTATCAACATGTTTTGACCATGACAGTTTACAATCCAGGGTTACTGCAAGCAGTTTAGTCACCTCAACTTGCTCAATTTCCACATTATGTATTAGAAGATTTAGTTGAGGTTTAGGGTTAAGTGAATGATTTGTCGCAAATACAACACTTTTCATTTTTGAAATATTTAGGGCAAACGGATTCCTTGCCACCCATTCTGAAACCGACTGCAACTCTGTTAAGTGTTGCAGTGATTTCACTCGCTGTAGTAGCTGACGTGTATAGTATTGAGTCATCCGCATACATAGACACACTGGCTTTACTCAAAAAAGTAAGGGGCCTAGATAGCTGCCCTGGGGAATGCCTTATTCTACCTGGATTATGTTGGAGAGGCTTCCATTAAAGAACACCCTCTGTGTTCTGTTAGACAGGTAACTCTTTATCCACAATATAGCAGGGGGTGTAAAGCCATAACACATACGTTTTTTCCAACAACAGACTGATCGATAATGTCAAAAGCTGCACTGAAGTCTAACAAAACAGCCCCCACAATCTTTTTATCATCAATTTCTCTCAGCCAATCATCAGTCTTTTGTGTAAGTGCCATGCTTGTTGAATGTCCTTCCCTATAAGAGTTCTGAAAGTCTGTTGTTAATGTGTTCACATTAAAATAGCATTGTATCTGGTCAAACACACATTTTTTCAAAGGTTTACTAAGGGTTGGTAACAGGCTGATTAGTCGGCTATTTGAGCCAGTAAAGGGGGCTTTACTATTCTTGGGTAGCGGAATTACTTTTGCTTCTCTCCAGGCCTGAGGGCACACACATTCTAGTAGGCTTAGTTTGAAGATATGGCAAATAGGAGTGGCAATATCGTCCGCTATCATCCTCAGTAATTTTCCATCCAAGTTGTCAGACCCCGGTGGCTTGTCATTGTTGATAGACAACAATATTTTTTTCACCTCTTCCACACTCCCTTTACGGAATTCAAAACTACAATGCTTGTCTTTCATAATTTGATCAGTTATACTAGGATGTGTAGTGTCAGCGTTTGTTGCTGGCCTAAGATTGCTAATTTTGTCAATGAAAAAAAACATTAAAGTAATTGGTAATATCAGTGGGTTTTGTGATGAATGAGCCATCTGATTCAATGAATGATGGAGCAGAGTTTGCCTTTTTGCTCAAAATGTAATTTAAGGTGCTCCAAAGCTTTTTACTATCATTCTTTATGTCTTTTTTATATGGGGGGGGGGGGGGGGGGCAATGCAAATAGTCTGGGTAGCCATTTGATTAAATGTTCAGGATTCTTATGGCTTGGGGGTAGAAGCTGTTATGAAGCCTTTTGGACATAGACTTGGCGCTCCGGTACCGCTTGCCGTGCGGTAGCAGAGAGAACAGTCTGTGACTAGGGTGGCTGGAGTCTTTGGCAATTTCTAGGGCCTTCCTCTGACACCGCCTGGTATAGAGGTCCTGGATGGCAGGAAGCATGGCCCCAGTGATGTACTGGGTCGTACGCACTACCCTCTGTAGTGCCTTGGGGTCGGATGCCAAGCACTTGCCATACCAGGCAGTGATGCAACCAGTCAGGATGCTCTCGATGATGCAGCTGTAGAACCTTTTGAGGATCTGAGGACCCATGCCAAATCTTTTCAGTCTCCTTAGGGGGAATAGGTTTTGTCGTGCCCTCTTTACGACTGTCTTGGTGTGCTTGGACCATGTTAGTTTGTTGGTGATGTGGACACCAAGGAACTTGAAGCTCTCAACCTGCTCCACTACAGCTCCGTCGATGAGAATGTGGGCATGCTCTGTCCTCTTCTTTTTCATGTAGTCCACAATCATCTCCTTTGTCTTGATCACATTGAGGGAGAGGTTGTTGTCCTGGCTCCACACGGCCAGGTCTCTGAACTCCTCCCTATATGCTGTCTCGTCATTGTCGGTGATCAGGCCTACCACTGTTGTATCATCAGCAAACTTAATGATGGTGTTGGAGTCGTACCTGGCCATGCAGTCATGAGTGAACAGGGAGTATAGGAGGGGACTGAGCACACACCCCTGAGGGGCCCCCGTGTTGAGGATCAGCGTGGCGGATGTGTTGTTACCTACCCTTTCCACCTGGGGGTGGGGAATCTGGAAGTCCAGGATCCCGTTGCAGAGGGAGGTTTAGTCCTAGGGTCCTTAGTTTAGTGATGAGCTTTGAGGGCACTATGGTGTTGAACGCTGAGCTGTAGTCAATGAATAGCATTCTCACATAGGTGTTCCTTTTGTCCAGGTGTGAAAGGGCAGTGTGAAGCGCAATAGAGATTGCATCATCTGTGGATCTGTTGGGGCGGTATGCAAATTGGAGTGGATCTAGGGTTTCTGGTATAATGGTGTTGATGTGAGCCATGACCAGCCTTTCAAAGCCCTTCATGGCTACAGACGTGAGTGCTACGGGTCGGTAGTCATTTAGGCAGGTTACCTTAGTGTTCTTGGGCACAGGGACTATGGTGGTCTGCATGTTGGTATTACAGACTCAGACAGGGAGAGGTTGAAAATGTCAGTGAAGACACTTGCCAGTTGGTCAGCGCATGCTCAGAGTACACTTCCTGGTAATCTGAATGTTGACCTGTTTAAAGGCCTTACTCACATCGGCTACGGAGAGCGTGATCACACGGTCTTCCGGAACAGCTGATGCTCTCATGCATGTTTCAGTGTTACTTGCCTCGAAGCGAGCATAAAAGTAATTTAGCTCGTCTGGTAGGCTCGTGTCACTGGGCAGCTTGCGGCTGTGCTTCCCTTTGTAGTCTGTAATAGTTTTCAAGCCCTGTCACATCCGATGATCGTTGGAGCCGGTGTAGTACGATTCGATCTTAGTCCTGTATTGACGCTTTGCCTGTTTGATGGTTCGTTGGAGGGCATAGCGGGATTTCTTACAAGCTTCCGGGTTAGAGTCCCGCTCCTTGTAGCTCAGTGCAGATGTTGCCTGTAATCCATGGCTTCTGGTTGGGGTATGTACGTACAGTCACTG